ATATATATATATATACATATACTGTATATATATATAAACACCTTGTTATGTGCACTGTGCTAGACTAACTGAGAATTGTCACAGCACTATATTGTTGCTCTTGTTGGTCTGATTGCTCCGACTTTGTAAGTCGCTTTGGATAAAAGCGTCTACTAAATGACTAAATGTAAATGTAAATTATTTAATAAACATGTTCTTTTATTCTTATCCTTAACCTTTAATATCAAACTTATAAAGGGGCCAAATCAGATTAAAGTTTATATTTCAATCTCTCCAACATAAACCCTAATGTTTGGCACAGCTTCTGACATATTAATTAATGTCCAAAACCACTCAAGAGAAAAACATGCCTTTATATCTGTGTCCCATTTTACAGGGCTGGCATCGTTTCCACCTTCATCTCTGCAGTCTTTCTGCATTCATATTTATTTTGTGCTGAGATGTGAAATCTGGTCCGTGTTTTTAAACCCAAATCAAACACGGCACTGTAGTTTCTGTGCTCTCAGAGGCATATTTCCCCTATGTGTCCTACCACATCATTTCCATTTTTAACATTCAGTTACCGTTCTGACATTAGGCAGTAGAGTGTTTGTTTTCATGTTGGAAGTTCACCCAACTGCTTGGTCTTGTTGTGCGTTGAATTTGCACTTGTCTGCCTTACCTTTGGTTGTTGAGAACAATGCATTGTTTTACATATAGTCCACTTTAGACATTCTACTTACTATAAGTAACTTTGCAACTACATGTCAACTAATTCTCATTCATTTGCGTCTACATGTCTACTAACTCTCAGAGTAGACTGTTAGGTTAGTTTTAGGGTAAGTCGAATAAGTTGACATATACTTGCAAAGTTTCTCATAGTCAGTATGTTGTGGACCCATCAAAATAAAGTGTTAGAAGATATTAAGCAGACAGTCTACTAATACTCTAATGGCTACTAGTAGACACGTCGTTGCAAAGTTACTTACTGTTAGTAGAATGTCTAAAGTGGACTATCAAAATAAAGTGTTACCATGCATTGTTATAACTAGATCGTGTCTTGTACAAATGACCGTAAACTCTTTAGAGTTCTGTTTCTGTCATTAATGAATAACTACACAGGCACAAATGAGTAACACAATATTAACATTCTAGCAACTACTATTAACTTACTAAAAAATTCTGATAAATAAATTAGTAATAACACAGTAATAGCAAGTAGTTCACTATTATCTAGTCAATAGCTATTTTTAACACCTCACAGAGAGCTACTATATACACACTATATACTATCTACAACTACTATAAACAGGTTTATAATTAAAGCAAATAATGCAAAATCAAGTGTTCTAAATATTCTAAAGTGGACATCATGGTGATCCACTATAATGACTTCATCAAAAGCTTTTGAGGGTTTTGTAAGTTTTTGGATAGTAATTCCTTCTGATTGATTTAGTAACAGCCTGTAACCCAGTGGCTTACAGTACCACTTCAGTTTAGGGAACAATTCTCATTATTAACTAGTTGCTTATTAGCATGCATATTACTAACATGTTGGCTGTTTATTAACACTTATAAAGCACATATTAATGCCTTATTCTGCATGAGCATATTTTAGATTCCTTAATCCACCCCATGTGTGACTATCCTCACTTTAGAATATTATTCCAAATAATTAGTAATTCCCTTAGAAGGATGTAGTAAAACTTGAGTCATTACTATCCAAAACCTTACAAAACCCTCAAAAGCTTACAGTGATTTCAGTCATTACTAGAGAGTTACCATGCTATAGAATACTGATCCAAATAATTAGTAATTCATTCTGAAGGATTTGGTAACACTTGAGTGGATTACCATGATCATCACTTTAGAATTAATGATACATTATGTATTATTCATATTAATTATCAACCTGTATGTAGTAGCTCTTAATAGTACTCTGAAACTAATACCCCCCCCCACCCCCGATTATTACTTATCATCTAATAGTGAACTAATAGTGAATTACCTCATTCAGCACTTAAGTACTATTACTTACTAATTTGTTAATCAGAGTTTCATGTTAATTACTAATAGTTACTAGAGTGTTATTATTGCATAACACATGTGATCCTATTGTTATTCATTAATGATGGAACAGTATTCGAATGTGTTACCACATAGCCAATTTATTTATATCTTTATGCTTGCATCTTTTTTTGATTTTGTACTGCGGTGATGAACTACACAATAAAACATCAAACTTTCATTCTGCATTTTAAAACCCATTTTCTTAGATTTCAGAATAGTGGCTATATGATATCCATTAATTGAGTAAATCATACACAAACATCTTAAGATGCTGCAGCAGTCATTGATGCTTGAGGAGGCAACAATATAGTGTGACTTAAGATGTTTAAAAAACATTTTAAGCATCTTACAGATTCTGTAAGGTTTAGATTTATGGTCATTATGGTCATGACTGTGCCATTCAGAATATTGTATGAGCAGGTTTGTGTGTGTTCAGAGGGCTCAGACATCTGTTAATGATT